TTTTATAGCTATATTAAGAGTAAAAGGATGGCTAGGGAGAGAACAGGTCCCCTTAAAGATCAGCAAAGCTATCTATGTGTGGAGCCACAGGAGATGGAGGAGATTTTTAATGAATGGAGGAGATTTTTCATGGATGCGAAGGAAATAAGGGAAACAAGTGGAGATGTTTTGGATTGCATACATATTACCATAGAGGAGGTGTTTGCAGCCTTAAAGCACATTAAGGTGAATAAATCCCCTGAGCCTGATCAAGTCCATCCTTGGATGTTGTGGGAGACTATGGAAGAAATTGCAGAGGCCCTTGCAGAGAATTTTGCTTCATCTTTAGCCATTGATGAAGTTCTGGAAGACTGAAGGGTGACTAATGTTGTTTCATTGTTTAAGAAAGGTAGCAAAGACAAGCCAGGGAACTACAGGCCAGTGAGCCTGACATCAGTGGTAGGCAAGTTATTAGAGATGGAGGATCAACCAACATTTGGATAGTCAAGGTCTGATGAGGGATAGTCAGCATGGATTTGTGCGCGGGAAGTCATGTCTGACAAATCTTTTAGAGTTTTTCAAAGAGGTAACCTGGAGAATGGATGAGGGTAGGGCAGTGGATGTAATCTATATAGACTTTAGTAAGGCCTTTGACAACATCCCACATGGCAGGCTGGTCATGAAAGTTAGGTCACATGGGACCCAGGGAGAGCTAGCTAATTGGATTCAAAATTAGCTTGATGGTAGGAAGCAGAGGGTGATGGTTGAAGCTTATTTCTCAGACTGGAAGCCTGTGTCTAGTGGTGTGCCATGAGGGTTGGTGCTGGGACCTTTGTTATTTGTTATTTACATAAATGATCTGGATGTGAATGTACAAGGCATGATTAGTAAGTTTGTGGATGATACAAAATTAGGAGGTATTGTTGATTGCAAAGAAGGTTATCAAGAATTACAGAGGGATCTTGATCAGATGGGGATCTGGGCTGAGGTTTGGCAAATGCAATTCAATACAGATAAGTGTGAGGTGTTGCATTTTGGAATGTCAAACCAAGGTAGGACTTATACAGTAAATGGTAAGGTCCTGAGGATTGTTGTGGAACAGAGGGACCTAGGAATAAAGCACATAGTTCGTTGAAAGTGGCATCACAGATGGACAGGGTGGTGAAGAAGGCATTTAGCATACTGGCTTTCATCAGTCGAGGCACTGAGTATAGGAGTTGGGATGTTATGTTACAGTTGTATAAGTTAGTGGTGAGGCTACACTTGGAGTATTCTGTACAGTTTTGGTCACCCTGTTATAGGAAAGACATAGTTAAACTGGAAAGTGTGCAAAAAAGATTTACGAGAATGTTGCCAGGACTATAAGGATAGGTTGGCCAGGATAGGACTTTACTCCTTGGAACGTAGGAGAATGAGAGGTGACCTTATTGAGGTGTATAAAATCATGAGGGGCATGGATAGGATGAATGCATGTAGTCTTTTTCCCAGGGATGGGGAATTGAAAACTAGAGGGCATAGATTTAAGGTGAGAGCAGAAAGATTTAAGAAGGACCTGAGGGGCAACTTCTTCATGCAGAGAGTCGTGCATGTATGGAATGTGCTGCTGAAGAAAGTGGTTGAGGCAGGTACAATAGCAATATCTGAAAAAAAAACATTTGGATAGGTTCCTGGATGGGAAGGGTTTAGAGGGATATGGACCAAATGTGGGCAATTGGAACTAGGTAAGTGGCACCATGGTCAGCATGCGCCGGTTTGGGCTGAAGGGCCTGTTTCCATGCTGTATTACTCTATGACTCTACATCTACAGACTGATAGTTAGTAAAGATTCTAGCTCTAAACCAGAATAGATGAAGGAATGCAGAAGGTACCAAAGAGTAGGAGGATTTTAGGTAAACAAATAAGAATGTAAAATGAAGGTTAAAACTGATTTCTGGGATTTCAGGAAAGAAAACATCATGTGGTTTGTCTGAGAGACCTGTCATGCGGACTGTAGTTCATGACACTTCTGAAGTGCTCTGAATCATGACTGTCTGAAAAGCTGACCTGACTCCATGAAAATTGCAGAGGCGTAGGACAGTGAAGCCAGCTAGGTCAGGAATGCAGGGTGCAGGCTTGCAGCCCAAGCCAGCATGCGCTATTAAAAGGCATTCCTGAAAATCTGAAACTCTGGGAATAGTATCAGAATGTGTCCTCGAACCAAGAGTTGCCTGCCATTTTTTCAAGCATTCCCAAGCCATCCCCGCTCAGCGAAAATCCAATGCAGTGTTTCACCACTTTTTGTCAGAGTTGTTTCTTCACATTTCAGCAGGTCAGTACACCAGGTAACACCTGGTTTGCAGTCCCCATTTCAGTTGTGCTTATGATTAGTTTATGATTTGACATAGGCAGATAACCCAGCTCACTAAAGTCCATTGAATGTTACAAGGGAAGGCAGCGCTATATATGTCTGGGCTGTGGTATTACTTGTTGCACATCTGTCAGAATTAAAATATCAGCAGATCAGACAATCATGAAGTATTAGCTCCAATAAATCTAAGCTATTAAAATGAAACAAATCTTACCTATTCCCTTTTTTTATTTAATGTTCCTTTAATTTTACCATTCTAGGAATCAATGTGCACATTAATGTTACTTTAAACTTTTCACCAACCTTATTTTTTCAGTTGCTTTGTTCTGTGGAGATAGCTTTGAAGACCTTTTCATTGTCTTCAAAGTAATCTATTAGCCCATTTCTTTGCCAACCGAAAAGTAATAATTCTGACATGTGACCAGCTTCTTAGGTGGTATGTGAAGGATAAAGCATTGGTTTAGTGTATGGTGATTTGCTCCAATCAGTGGTAAACATTTAGTAATATTATTCCATACCACTTAATACAGTCATCTATATTGACCTCTGCCAGACCATAGTGTGCAGTTGTTGGAAAATCTCTTGAGATTCTTAAAGCAACAGTTGAGAATAGTTTGCCAGTGCTTGAGACTCCAGGACATTCTGGAATCTTAGCAACCCTTTAAGCTGAAATATTATTTCAATCGAGGACTGATATCAAAAAAATCAGCTTTTCCTTCATCTCCATTTCTGCCAACTAGTTGTAGGTTTGGTCAGGCCAAGTCACAGACTGAATTAGTCTAGGATCTCTTACTGCAATTCAAACTGGTTAGTGGTCACCTCCATGCCTGGCAACTTTTTACACCCTATCGTTTATGTATAATATCCAAAATAAGCAGGGTACAGTATACATGTACCATGCCTCCAAATCTTGCACTATTTTGTGCTCACTGCAGCAGAGGTACTCACTGCTGCTGGGATCATGGAATCCCTACAGTGTGGAAACAGGCCCTTCAGCCCAACAAGTCCACATCGAACCTCGGACCATCCCACCCAGACCTATCACCCTATTACCCACCTAACCTACACATCCCTGAACGCTATGGGCAATTTAGCAAGGCCAATCCACCTAGCCTGCACATCTTTGGACTGTGGGAGGAAACCAGAGCACCTGGAGGAGACCCATGCAGACATGGGGAGAATGTGCAAACTCCACACAGACAGTCACCCAAGGGTGGAATTGAACCTGGATCCCTGCCGCTGTGAGGCAGCAGTGCTAACCACTGAACCACCGTGCCGCCCTTCCAGGGATCTTCCAGGATTTCCACTGCTAGTGCTTGGTCAATTGTTGCAAGCCACAAATAGCCCTTCATAATACATAGTAGAAGGGAAATGACAAAGAACAGCTTCTGAGGCTACATGGGTGACACTTCATTGGAATTAGATGCTCTCATTCATAAACGTCTTGCTATTTTACATCATCACCTGTCTGATCAATTGTCACAGCAACTGCAGCACCAAGGATCAGGGCTCACAGGTTACCCATCCTCAGCACAGTACCATGTTAGAGCTCTTTCTAAGGGAGCTACTCTTCCCCTAAAGCCTACCATAGCATTGCATGTTGTCATTGTTCAATGTGGAAGCATCACATGTTGGAAAGCCTTCAAACAGTCGAAAGTATTAACTTTTGTTGAATAATAGGCAAAGTGAAGAAAGAACAAAACAAAAGCTGCAATAAAAACAGAAGTTGCTGGAAAAGCTCAGCAAGCCTGGCAGCATCTGTGAAGAAAAAAATCAGAGTTAACGTTTCGGGTCTGGTGACCCTTCCTTAGAACTGATGGTATCTGGGAAAATGTCGGTTATATGCAGAAAATAAGGAGGGGTGTGGGATAGGGAGTAAATGATAGGATAAAAGATAGAACCCAAAGAGAGAGAAGAACAGTTGGATAGACAAAGGAGTTGACAATGATCTGGCTAAGAGGATGAATAGCTGTTAATGGGGACTGTTAGTGACTAACAATAGATAGTATGTAATGTCAGGCTATGTGATCACAAGGCCTGGTGTGTGGGGTAGGGGGCTAGGACAAGGGAGAATTTGGGCCCTAAAATTATTGAACTTGATATTGAGTCCGGAGGGCTTCAGGGTCCCCAAGTGGAAAATGAGGTGTTGTTCTTCCAGCTTGCGCTGAGCTTCGCTGGAACACTGCAGCAAGCCAGAGACAGAGATGTTGGCCTTGGGAACAGTGTGGTGTGTTCATAGAATCATAGAATCATAGAATCCCTATAGTGTGGAAACAGGCCCTTCGGCCCAACCAGTCCACACCGAACCTCAAAGCGTCCCACCCAGACCCAAAGGTAACTAGAAGCTCAGTGTCTTTTTTGCGAGCAGAACATAGATGTTCCGCAAAGTGATCACCTAGTCTATGCTTTGTTTCCCCAGTGTAGAGGAGACCACACTGTGAGCAGCGAATGCAGTAGACTAGATTCTGGGAAGTGCAGGTGAAGTGTTGCTTTACCTGGAAGTAATGTTTGGGCCTTTGGATTCTGGGGATTGAGGAGGTAAATGGGCAGGTGTTACACTTTCAGCAGTTACAGGGGAAGGTGCCGTGGGCTGTGCAGTGTTGTTGGGGGTGAAGGAAGAGTGGACCAGGGTGTCCCAGAGGGAACGGCCCCTACAGAAGTTGGACAAGGGAGGGGAGGGGAATATGTGTCTGGTGGTAGCATCTCACTGGAGATGGCAGAAATGACGTCTGATGATCTTCTGGATGTGTATGCTCCCACCAGCATACACATCCACATTTATTGCTAGAATGGAACCTTTTTCTATTGATGAAGTCAGCCTTCTTATGACATGGCGCTCTCAAAGCAATGTGTGTACAGTCTATTGCACCCCGTACCTGGGAAAGATCAGAAATGCTGGAAAAGCCTATAGCCTGGGCTGTGGCACTGAAACATCATGGGGAAACAAGATGAAGTGGTGTGATCAGACATAAATGGTATTGGTAACAGCCTTGATACGTTTGTGAGTGGACAACAGGAAGAGCCCACACAGGTCCCCTGCAGCTCCTCGGAAGAAGCCAGTTACATAAAAGTCAGCGCAGCTGTCACCCTAATGGCCACTATGATAGGGTGCCAATCATTCCTCCTTGTTACAGGTCTTGCTCCAACAGTTGGCATAATTCAGTGACAGTAAACCAAAATATCCTGTGTGTGCCCACACTGCACTTTGATCATCTGGAGGAAATGGCATTGAGGACAAAGTACACTGGCCCTTCCATAACCCCACACATTCTGAGAGGGTTTTCAGTTGTGACCACCTCATCTGGAGGCTTCCCTAGAGGTTGCTGTTGGTTGTGCGATTACTGATTGGTTCATTGTTCCTCCATTACTCTGTGATTTCACTGTATCGCAGCAGCAGCACTGATCATCTCTGCTGTGGCTAGATCTTTCAGTAATGCTTGCAAAGAACCTGTGTGGGGAATATAAGGAACAGAACAGGTCCTTACTAATGTGAGCAATTAGCATTTTAATCACTCATGATGGTTTAGCAAAATCTTCTATACAGTGGGGCATGAAGCACTCTGATAAAGAAATCTTTGGAATACCTCTGTATGGTAGTTTGATATTGCAACTTTTTCCAGGGAATGCTGCTCCAATCATGTTTCAAAGAGACAGTAGGAGATTGTAAGTGCTCTATGAGAACTGACACCTTCTCCTCCCAGTCCATATGACCCAAGAAAGGCATTGTTGCATATAAGACCATATTGGACAATATTAAAAGTTCAAGGTCGGAGGGAGTCTCTTCCATGCCCAGTGCAACCAATGAGATCTTGCATTTGCTTTGTGCTCTTTGTCCGACAGGTGTCCCTTTTAAGGTTACCTGAGATTATGTCTGTTTTGCAGAGGAGACTGTCTTCAAGCTGCAATTACCAATGACATGGTCAGAATTTCTTGTGACCAGCATTTGCACCCTACGCAGTTGGACACTGTATGCATTTCACATGCAGGATGCTATGATTACAGATGCTGTAACTTGTATTCAGCAAGTGGCTGGTTGATGCAATCACACTGTGAAACACCTTCCATTCCCCAGAAATGGACACCACTCACTCCAAGTGTTGTCACAGCTATTTTCCATTTGCAGTTCACACTTCAGAACTGAGAGATTATGGAAGGCAATGCAGGTCACACATGCCATTGTGAGTTGCAATCTGGTTATCAAGCACCCCCACTCCCCCCACCTCCCGCCCCCTCACCTCCATCTCTCTTTCTTCCTGGCATTCCCTGACAGCTCCTTACAACTGATTCCCCACATTCCCACCTACCACCTAGAATTACAGCTGCAAATATCATCCTTAGCCTCTGAGCCCCATCCTTATAATTTAGCACTGCACACCATTGTCAGCGCACTACCCCCTCCCCACCCCACCCCCTGCCCCACACAATGGTGATGACTGGAGATTAAACCCCCCGCAACATCGCAACATCCCATGTGCTACCCTATTCGCCCCATCCCCCTCACACCCCCACTCCATCATTGTCCTTATCCCATCTGCATGCCACGTTGCTGACTCCAATCCCCAGCATTGAGATCCGACCAGCTTCCCTAAAACAGCAGAGTCCTGCTGATAAAGTCCTCGTTGCCTTTTATTCAGTTGAACCCTGGATTGACTGTGGCTCATTCCCTCTGACTGACCTGGATGGACAGCCAAATTGATGGCTGACCTGACCCCTGACCATTCTCCATACAGCTTCCCAACTGACATTCCATTGAACCCTGACTATTTGCACCAGACTTGCCAAACTGACCCTGGCCCACTCCCCATACTGCAGTGATATAGACCCCCTGACCCCGATCATTTGAAGCAGATGACTGACTGTGCTCAAGCCCATAGGCCCTTGGCCGACAATAACTGGACCCCTTGACTGACAGTAGCACTTCTTGATGTGAATGAGGACTGTTCCCCTTTGAATTTGAGACATGGCCATTTGCTTCATACACGTGTCGTGTGTTTGCCACACAGGCTGGTGGCACATGCTGTAGGTGGGAGACTGACATAGCACTGTGCTGAATGGCAACATGCCCACCTTGTTGATTGATCATTGCTGACAGGCTGCCTGGCTTTGTGTCTGTGCTAAGCAGCAAATCAAGCCAAAAGCACTGTAAGTCTTTAAGATGCAGCAGAGGGTCAAAGCATCAAACAGCAAGGCAAGTCAGAGACGCTGTTAATATTAAGGTAGGCACAAAATACATGAGGGAGGCGGCCTGAAATGTAACCGCCTCCAACTGATGAGCTGGATGGTCATCCTTACATGCAAAGTGCCCTCTCAGCAGCATTGCAGTGAAAGGTGCTGGTGCACCACAATGTATTGAATTGCAGAACCACCTTCTAGGTGGATTGGTGGTATGGTATGATGATGCAATGGTGCTGGTACGTGTCAGTTACTAAGGTTCATTTGTTGCCATCAAATGTGCCTGTGCTATTGATATGGTGTGTCCAAAATGGAGGACAAGGGGAGCAAGTGGTAGCTTGAATTGCCAGGTATCAGCTTTGACTTTCATGCTGAGAATTCTCAGGGGACTGTGATCAATGAGGTGAGATTAAGTAATAATGAAATTGATAATGAACAATAATCCATGCCAATTGATAAGAATTTTTTCTTGACTTCAACACTTGGCTGGAAAATAGGCCTTTTTGGTCATGCACCAAATTGGTGCATTGACCAAATTTGGTCATTGCTGGAAATCTCATCTCATTTTCCAAATTTCTTGCCATGGACTATGTCATTGCAAGGGCTGGAAAGATTCTGCCCCTTGTTTCTTAGTTAAGCCACATCCAGAAAGCCATTTAATATTCAGATATATCATTTATAATGGAGGGATAGGAAGAAACAAAACAGCCTTAAAAGCACATGATTTATGCCAACGATCATAGCACATCTTTAAAATACACTGTGCCCTTGACATGATGTAATCTCTTGATTTGAAACAATACAGAAACACAAGAACACCAAGTCAATTTAATCATAACAATACATTAGATGATGACAGACGTAAAGATGCTCTACAGGGAGGAATGGAGTAAAATTTGAAGAGTAATTCATAGAATTCATCATAGCCAGGAACTGTTTCAAAGGCCTGAGAAAACATGCAGCTTGACCTCCCTGCCAGGTTATCATATGTGCCATGTAGAAAGGTAAGGAATATAAAGGAAAATGTATATTTATTTTTAAAAACCTCAGTTAGGCAAAATCAACCAGGGTTCACCGGTTCCTGGTACCTGGTTAGTGACATTTACATGAAAGTGGATTTACCACATAAACATAGCAGCTACAAGAGTCGGTCAGAGGCTAGGAATACTGCACTAACTCACCTCTTGATTCCTGAAACTCTGTCCACCATCTACAAGGCACAAACCAGGGGTGTGCTGGAATAATCCCCACTTGCCTGGATGAGTGCAGCTCCAACAAGGCTCAAGAAGCTTGACACCGTCCAGGACAAAGCAGCCAACTTGATTGGCACTACATCCACAAGCATCCATTCCCTCCACCACCGACACTCAATAACAGTGTGTACTATCTACAAGATGCACTGCAGAAATTCAAAGATCCTTAGACAGCACCTTCCAAACCCACAACCACATTCACCTAGAAGGACAAGCGCAGCAGAAACATGGGATCACCACCACCTCCAAGTCACTGACTATCCTAACTTTGAAAAAATCACTGTGCCTTCACTGTTGCTGGGTCAAAATCCTTGAAATCCTAAGGGCATTGTGGTTCAACCTACAGAACTTGGACTACAGTGGTTCAAGAAAGCAGTTCACCGCCACGTTCTCAAGGGTGACTAGGGACAGCTAGAGGTGCCCATGTCCCACAGGTTAATAAAACAAAGTTTATTGACTTCAGTTTCAAATAGATCGGAGTTAGGTGAAGATTTTTATTCTTTGTTCATTTGCAGGATGAGGGTGCCACTGGCTAAGCCAGCATTTATTGCCCATCCCTAATTGCCCAGAGGGCAGTTATGAGTCAACCACATCGCTGTGGGCCTGGAGTCACATGTAGACCAGTCCAGGTAAGGTTGGCAGTTTCCTTCCCTAAAGGACATCAGTGAACCGGATGAGTTTTTCCCGACAATCGGCAATGGATTCATGGTCATCATTAGACTCTTAATTCCAGATATTTATTGAATTCAAATTCCACCATCTGCCATAACGGAATTCAACCCAGCTCCCCAGGACAATACCTGGGTCTCTGGTTTAACAGTCCAGCGATAATACCACTCAGCCATTGCCTGCCCGATCATTCATTGACTGTAACTTATTGTTGCTTGAAAGGCAAGCAGTTCTTCTTTATTCCCAAAAGCAAATGCAGCTTTTGTTTTAATAACCGAAAGAACTGCCGATGCTGTAAATCAGGAACAAAAGGAGGATTTGCTGGAAAAGCTCAGCAGGTCTGGCAGCATCTGTGAAGAAAAATCAGAGTTAATGTTTCGGGTTCGGTGACCCTTCCACAGCACTGATGGTAGCTAGGAAAACGTTGGTTTATATGCAGAAAATAGGGAGGGGTGTGGGGTAGGGAGTAAATGATAGGATAAAGGATAGAGCCCAAAGAGAGAGAGGAGCAGTGGGATAGACAAAGGAGTTGATAATGATCTAGCTAGGAGAATGGATAGCTGCTAACCGTGACTGTTAGTGACTAACAATACGTAGTGTGTAATGGCAGGCTATGTGATAACAAGGCCTGGTGTGTAGGGTAGGGGACTAGGACATGGGAGATTTTAGGCCTTAAAATTATTGAACTCGGTATCGAGTCCGGAAGGCTGCAGGGTCCCCAAGCAGAAAATGAGGTGCTGTTCTTCCAGCTTGCGCTGAGCTTCGCTGGAACACTGCAGCAAGCCAGAGACAGAGATGTTGGCCAGGGAACAGGGTGGTATGTTAAAGCAGCAGGCAACTGGAAGCTCAGTGTCTTTTTTGTGAGCAGAATGTAAATGTACAGGAGACCACATTGTGAGCAGCGAATGCAGTAGACTAGATTTTGGGAAGTGCAGGTGAAGTGTTGCTTCACCTGCAAGGTATGTTTGTGTTCATGGATACTGGGGAGGGAGGGGTAATGTTTGGGCCTTTGGATACTGGGGGGTCGTAATTGGGTGGATGTTACACCTTCACCGGTTACAGGGGAAGCTGACATGGGGCTGTGGGGGTTTGTTGGGAGTGAGGGAAGAGCGGACCAGGGTATCCCAGAGGGAACAGTCCCTGCGGAAGGTGGACAAGGGAGAGGAGGGGAATATGTGTCTGGTGGTAGCATCTCACTGGAGATAGCGGAAATGGTGTCTGATGATCTTCTGGATGTGTATGCTCCCACTAGCAATTAACTGACCTGTGATTAGAGATATCCCAGCTTGTAGTTGCAGGGATAAGAGATGCAGTTCTGCTCATCTGAATAAACAGCTCTAGAAGTGTTGCTCCAGAAGATGCTTCAAAGTTGAGTTGTTTACTTCAGAGTTTAATGGTATTCCTCAAAAGGCCTGGGCAGATGAAATATAAAGTTTCTTTGTTCAGTAAGATTATCAAGTTACACATATTTTATTACAAATTATTTATAACCTTTAATGCTGCACCACTGAAGCAGTCAGCAAAGCATTCACCATCTTCCAGGTTCTTAGTCCATTCCCATCCAAAAGGCTCCAGCCACAAACCAACTCAGTTTCCCTCAGAGCGGTCTCCGATCCCTTACAGTTTCCCAAACAAGAGATTCACCATCTTCCAGCAGTTTTGTATCCATGTTTGCTGTGGGTGTCATTCTATCACTGGCATGGAAATCATCTTCTAATATGAATCTTGCAAGTTTAGATTGGCTAGCATGCAGTTTGAACACAAGTGCAATGTTGAAAGGTCTGCTGTGAAGTTCCTTAAATTCTAACCAGTACATTTTATAGTTGCTGTATGGGGCAGTATGTGTATAGTTAGCGGGATCCAAAGAAGGCCAAAGGAACAGCTGATTATTATTGCTTCTTGATTCCCAATGAGAAAAACATCTTCCAATTTGTCAAGAATGGAGTTTGAACCTTCTGGCCTGGAGCAACAACATTGCCATTCAGTTTAATTTGAAGCCTAATAATAATTTTAAGAACTAGGGTAATGCCAATGAACTTGACAGTCTTCTTTATCTAATGATTAACCCAAACTGGTTCCCACCATCTTCCTTAGTCCAGAAATGCAACCACTCAGCTCTTGAGACCATTCATATTTTCTGATTCAGTGATCTTCCCAGATAACAACCTTTTAGCTGACAAATTTTTGGCTGATTTCTAACTCAGAATGAACAGGGTTCAGGAAGAGAAGGGTTCAGGAGGAGAAGGGTTCAGGAATATCTGGTCAGTATGGATGAGTTGGGCTGAAAGGTCTGTTTCCATGCTGTACAAGTCTATGATTCTATGACTCTATTAGAAGACAATCCCTGATATACAAGCACATTTCCACTCTAGCTTTCTTTACAAGACCTGAGTGAAAACTAATTTAGTGTAATTACTGTCAAATTATGGCCATTTTTATGTTGTAGACACTTAATCAGGAGAGGATTGAGATAGCTCAAACTGATTTCACTGAGAACTCAACATTTCCATTAAGATTTTTTAGCTCATAGCGTTGACTAGATTTAAGTATGACTTTCAGTGTTAAAAAAATTTCTTATTCTACTTTAGGGCCTCTATTTCACGAAATAGGAGAAACATGTACAGTTAAGGAACGATCATGATACATTATTTCAGTTAACCATTTAGTCTTAAAGAAGATACCAGTAAGATTATTTTAGAAGATTTACAGTATGTTTTTGGTTGTCAGTCTGTCGATGTCAATCCCTCCTCCGTCTTACAGCCAAAAGGTTTCAAGTTCTGAGGAAGGAGCCTATAATTTCTTACCCCCTTTGCTATTTTCAAAGAACCTGCCAAAAATTGATGCAATTTTCCAAGTCAAGTTGAATTTTTTTGAGAGATAGTAGGAACTGCAGATGCTGGAGAATCTGAGATAACAAGGTGTAGAGCTGGATGAACACAGCAGGCCAAGCAGCATCAGAGGAGCAGGAAGGCTGACGTTTCGGGCCTAGACCCTTCTTCAGAAATGGGGGAGGAGAAGGGGGTTCTGAAATAAATAGGGAGAGGCGGGGAGGCAGATAGAAGATGGATAGAGGAGAAGGTAGGAGGCAAAAAGGTCAAAGAGGCGGGGATGGAGCCACTAAAGGTGAGTGTAGGTGGGGGGTTAGGGAGGGGATAGGTCAGTCCAGGGAGGACGGTCAGGTCAAGGGGGCGGGATGAGGCTAGTAGGTCGGAGATGGGGTTGGGGCTTGAGGTGAGCGGAGGGGATAGGTGGGAGGAAGGACAGGTTAGCGAGGCGGGGACAAGCTGGGCTGGTTTTGGGATGCGGTAAGGGGAGGGGAGATTTTGAAGCTTGTGAAGTCCACATTGATACCATTGGGCTGCAGGGTTCCCAAGCGGAATATGAGGTGCTGTTCCTGCAACCTTCGAGTGGCATCGTTGTGGCACTGCAGGAGGCCCAAGATGGACATGTCGTCTGAGGAATGGGAGGGGGAGTTGAAATGGTTTTTTGAAATGGACTTTTTTTAAATTTTGTGAACTAATTTTCTTTCTTTTGGTTGAGGTAGTTTATGGCTTAGCCTTGTGAATCTATCTGATGACCCTAGATGTAGAGATTTGCTTGAATACTCTATTCAAGACAGGGTTTACAGTCAGGAAGGAGACATGGTGGTTTTACTTTGCGTGGATAATATGATAGTTTCTTTTTATCTTTCTTTCGTGTTTTATATTCTGTCTTGGTTTGTTGCCCTAAAAAATAATTTTATAACCCATTTTACTTGGTGAGGTGCCAGGTTATCATGCCTACCAGTATTTCAACTTTCAATCAGGGCTTCTTTTGTAATGTTACTTATTTCACTTGTACAACTGGCTTTGGAGTACTCCCTCAGAAATGTGCAGGGTATACAATTCCCTTTTATTTCATCAATCAATGCATCTTTCCTTATCTTCTGAAATCATTAGTTCCTGCTCAAGTGTATAACAGCAAACCTCAGGTACTTTGCCCCATTCTTTGTGTAGGAACCCAGACAGTAAGCGTCAGCAGATTAATCAGCTAGATGTGGCCACAAATTAAAGCTCCACCAACATAATACACACTTACTTTCCAACGAAGCTGTTCATAGTGATTAAGAAGAGGAATTCTGGCTGATTCTTTACTCATTGAAAGGTGGTGAAGACAATGATAGTACATCTATCACCAACTCACCTAAAGCAGCCAACTCAGCACCAACTGGGAATTAAACCAAACTTTTCTGTAAGGGTTAATTCTGTACAAGATTAACAATAGACAAAATATTGCAGATGCCGCTTATCTCAAACAAAACCAGGAAGTTCTGCAGAAACACATGAGGTCTGGCAGCATCTGTGGACAGAGAAACAGAGTTAAAGTTTGAAATGTTAACTTTGTTTCTCACTCCACAGATGCTGCCAGACCTGCTGTGTTTCTCCAGCACTGCACGAAATTGTTACAGCACAGAAGATGGCCATTTGGCACGTCGTATCTGCACCAGTTCTCTGAACATTTTGACTTTGTGCCAAACTCCTGTCTTTTCCACGTAACCCAGAACATCTTTTTCTATTTAAACAATCGCCCGATGCTAGGTGGGAGAGAAGCTGGACGGGTCAAGGAGGCGGGGATGAGGGAGGGTTGGTCATGGGATGAGGCCGGGGGTGGGGGGATTTTGAAGCTAGTAAAGTCCACATTGAGACCATTGAGTTGTAGGGTCCCAAGGCGGAATATGAGGTGCTGCTCCTCCAGTTTCCAGGTGGTGTCGTTATGACACTGGAGGAGGCCCAGGATGGACATGTCGTCCAGGGAGTGGGAGGGGGAGTTGAAATGGTTCACGACTGGAAGGTGTTGTCATTTGTCGTGAACCGAGTGCAGGTGCTCTACAAAGCGGTCTTTGGGCCTCCACTTGGTCTCACTGATGTAGAGGAGGCCACATCGGGAGCAGCGGATGCAATAGACCACATTGGTGGTTATGGATGGTCTGGAAGATGATGTTTTAGTGGTCCGGGGTGGGGTCATGATTGAGGGGGGTGTAGGAGGAGGTGTCAGAGAGTTGGCGCTTGGCCTTGGCGATGTAAAGGTCAGTACGCCATACCACAACTATGCCTCCCTTGTCTGCAGTTTTGATGGTGAGGGTTGGAATGGAGGGAGCGGACGACTGCATGTTCTGTGGGGGAGAGGTTGGAGTGGGTGAGAGGGTGGAGAGGTTGAGGAGATCGATGTCACGACAGCAGTTGGAAATGAAGAGGTCGAGGGAGGGTAGGAGGCCTTGGGGTGGTGTCCAGGAGGATGGAGTGTGTTGGAGGCGGGAGAAGGGGTCTGTAGAGGGGTGGGTTAGACTCACGGTTAGAGAAATAAGCGCAGAGGCAGAGGCGGCGGAAAAACTGTTCAATGTCCAAGCGTGAGTGGTATTCATTGATGTTCGGGTGGAGGGGCATGAAGGTGAGTCCTTTACTAAGGACTGACTGTTCGTCCTCAGTGAGGGGGAGGTCTGGGGGGATGGTGTAGACCCAGCAGGGCTGGGGGCTGGTGTTGGCTGTAGAGCTGGTGGCTGTAGGGGCGGTGGGCAGAGTGGCATCAGCGGTGGGTGGAGCGGCGTCGGCAGGGGCATCCTTGATGTTGGTGGCAGCGGCGGCAGAGGTGTCCTTGATGGGGCGTTCCACTCCCGAACATCCCAGATATCCTTGTATTTCCAGGACCACAACTTCCCTTCTTCAGTGGTCAAAAATGCTCTCGACCGTATCTCTTGCGTTTCCCACAACTCAGCCCTCACACTCCCTTCCCACAACAAAAACAAAGACAGAATCCCCCTTGTCCTCACATATCACCCCATTAACCTGTGGATTCAATGCATCATTCTCCACCACTTCCGCCACCTGCAATCCGACCCCACAACCAAGGATATATTTCCCTCCCCACTCTTATATGCCTCCCGGAGGGACCACTCTCTCCTCGACTCCCTCATCTGCTCCACACTCCTTACTAGCCCCTCCACCCCGGCACCTTTCCCTGCAACTGCAGGAAGTGCTACACCTGCCCCTATGCCTTCCCCCCTCACCTCCATCCAAGGCCCCAAAAAAAATTCCACATCAGACAGATGTTCACCTGCACATGCGCTAATGTGGTATATCGTATTCCCGATGTGGCCTCCTCTACATCAGTGAGACCAAGCGGAGGCTCAGACACCGCTTTGTAGAGCACCTGCGCTTAGTTCACGACAAACAACAACACCTTCTGGTCGTGAACCATTTCAACTCGCCCTCCCACTCCTTGGACGATGTGTCCATCCTGGGCCTCCTCCAGTGTCACAATGATGCCACCTGGAAACTGGAGGAGCAGCATCTCATATTCCGCCTTGGGAGCCTACAACTCAATGGTCTCAATGTGGACTTTACTAGCTTCAAAATCTCCCACCCCTCACTGACCA